TGATTTTATATTCCATGCCACACTTATTTTATTTGTTGCTGACAAAGAAATTTAATTTCACTTCAAAGCGAAACTCAAACAAAATTTATCCAACATACGACTCATCCTTTTACGTCATTGTCAAAACGAGAATAGAAGACAGAGGAAGAAGATGAAAAAAAAGACAAATAAATCTCCGGAACATTATATGCGGATGGGGTCATATCTTTTCAATAAGTTTTTTTCTTTTGTTTTCAGTTTCTTGTTTTTTTTGCAAATTCATTTCAGCCGCAAAGCCTCCCATTGAAATGAGGCCAAGAGGGAGATTTACATCAGCAACCGCATGCTTTAAGTTCACTACTTCAAAGTTTTGTAACGAAAGGAATCAAACACAAATAGTCAAAGTGAAATTTATTAAGTTTTTCTCTTTTCCATTTTTCCTTTTCATGTAAAGGCTCAAACGTTGGGAAGAAGGCTGGCGCACAGTTCGTCAATGGCACAAAGGCAAAAAGGGGCATGAAATACAAGAAAACAAAAAAAAAACTTTGAATGTAACACTCCTATGGTTTTGAGATACCAGATTCGTAGTTTATCTTCGTCTGTGAGCAGTTGTTGTTCATCCTATTCTGGGAGCAGTTGTCTAGTTGTTGTTGTTGTTGATATTGCCTTTCACTTTGATTCTTAACGAGTGTCACGTCTTATTTAGGCAAGAAGGCCAGTCGAAGTGGGATGTCTTCTGTCTGGCTTCCAATTTATGTGTGAGGGGGCCCCAAATGTTGAAATGTGCGTAACCAGAGTACATAGACTCCCCCATCCACCCCTTTCGCCATGATCAACTGTAGTTGCCAAACAATTGACTCCCCTATGAGTGTATGCCTAGACATTAACATACACCCACAATATTTACAGAAAATATACTATGTATATTGGCGCCTTGTCTGAGTAATTTTCCAGTGTGGTTGGATTAAGTTAGCATGAGGAGGATGCTCTAAGTTGGAGAGGGATTTTTATACCCTACACCACATATGTCTTTGGGCATTTGTTTGTAACATAAGGAAGGAAGCGAGGTACCCACCCACAGTTCCTCTGAGGATATTCATAGAATCACTTCCTAAGTCGATTTATGCATGTCAATCCGTTCGTCAGTCTGTCCATGTATTTTTGTGAACAAAATGCAGGTCGCATTTATCATCCGATTGAGATGACATTTTTTAAACAATATTTGTTTGGATAAAGCACGAACTCTATTGAAATTGGTGAGAATCAGTTCAAATTTAGATATAGCTCACACGTATACCTTCAGCGGATTTCCGGTTAATTGTGCACCAAATGGCCAATATCAATCATAATGACTGAATGTTGGCACATCCCACCGAATTCAGTCTTAAAGCAAGTCCTTAAAAATTGGTTCAGATATAGCTATAGCTCCCATATATATGTTTGTGGTGTTTAAGACCCTCACATTCGTAATATACACTACACAACTGTAATATTTAGTGCCACATACCAGACATAGCCCAGAAATACCTCCATCAAATTTTATCGAGATCGGATCAGATTTGGATATAGCTCCCATATATATTGTTATCCGATATCAGGTATATAACCCACCAAATGGCCAATATCGGTCTAAATAACTTAAATTTTAGTTCATGTTACAGAATTCAGTCTAGAACTAAGTATATCAAATTTGCTGGAAATAGGTTCAGATATAGCTATAGCTCCCATATATATGATTTTTTTTTGATTTGGTGCTTAAGTCCCTCACATTCGTAATATGTACTGCACAAGAATTATATTTGGTACCAGATATCAGATATAGCCCGAAGAAATCAGAAATTCCTTTGTCATATATATGTTTCAACCGATTTTGTGTTTAAGTCCCTCACTTGCGTAATATGCATTCGACAACAATGATATTTGGTACCAGATATTTTATAGAGCTCGGAAATACCTCTGCCAAATTTGATCAAGATTGGTTCAGATTTGGATATAGCACTCATATATATCTTTATCCTATTTCAGGTTTATTGTGCACCAAATGGCTAATATCGGCCCAAATGGACTTCTTCTGACGGAATTCAGCTCAGAAGCATGTACTTCAAGTTTAGGTGAAAATCGGTTCAGATACAGCTATAGCTTCCGTATATATGTTTCATCCGATTTGGTGTTTAAGTCCCTCATATAAGTAATATGCACTCCACAACAATTATCTCTGACAAGTACCACCAAATAAATTCCCAATATAAAGTTTTTGCTACGGGAGCTCCACTATATACGCATAGTGGTGTAGGGTATCATATAGTCGGTCCCGACTAGTTACTAGTTTTAGGTTGTAAAAAATAATTAATTCGTCTAAATCGTCTAAGCTGGAAAATTTAGTAAAGACCTTCAAAATACCGACAAGGGACTATTTCAGAATCTTCACTCACATTAACATTTTGCTATAATTTTCAAAATGTGATATTATACTTTGCCAGCACTTAAAAGTTCCATAAAATTTGCCCCTATAGGTAAGTAATTATTCAGACTATCAAGGTTTTATTATTATTTAAAATTTTCGGAAAGAATTTCAGATTTTGAGCTCTATTCTTTTACCCAATACCAAATTTTATAACATTAAGTACGCATATCCAAAACAATCTACATCTCTCCATCCGAGACACCAAGAGTGATCCACAATTAATACCATTTAGTACTTTTAGAAAAATTATAGTACGCATTCGCAAAACTACCATCAAATCTCAAGACCAGATACCTAAAGAGTCCTTAATATCAAATTTCGGAATTCCTGCTCAAACCCTTCGCCCAATAATCAATATAGTAACACGTAGTACTTTTCGAAAATTATAGTACACATTTCCAAAACCACCTCCATATCTTAACCACAGATCCCAATAGTGAACTTAACATAAATTTTCGGAATTCCAGCTCTATCGGTTCACACAAATCTAAATTGTATCAAATTTAGTACACATAAACACGAACTTTTTACATACCCTTCTAAAACTTTCTACATGCCCTACTACTACTTTCGTACCTCAATCATACAATCCCTTAGAAATCGCATTATCCTTATCCAAATCTAACTAAATTTAGAACAATTTAGTTCACATAAATATAAGTTTTCAAAGCTTCCTAAATAACACAATCCTGCACTCCTACAGTAATTCCAATTTCAAATTTCAGGATTCCACCCCAAAGGCGAGTTGTACCAAATTTATTACCATGCCGTATACATATGCACGAATTTCAATTTCCAAAGCTGCCTCAATTTTCCAATCCTGCAATCCAACATTAACCTTACTTCCAAGTTTCAGGATATTAGCTTTATCGCTTCACCCAAATCTAAATTGTATCAAATTTATTACCATTTAGTATACATAAGTACGAATTTCCCTAATTACCTACATCATACAGAAATCTTATTTCCAAATTCCAGGATTCCAACTTAACGGGTTCACCCAAAAATTAAATTGTATAAAATTGAGTACCATTTAGTAGACACAAGTTTTAATTTCCAAAACTACCCAGTCACCTCAAATGTAGTGTCATTTAGTACTTTTCGTGCACATAGGTACACATTTCGAAAACTACCTGCATATCTTAATCCTACAGGGCAATAGTAATCTTATTTTCAAATTTCAGGATTTCAGCTCCATCCGTTCTTCCAAGTTCAAATTGTACTAAATCTATCACCGTTATGTGCTTTTCGTATAAATGTGTACACACTACATCGACTCTTTCCCTTAACCTTGATTCCCACATCAAATTTCAAATTTGAAGCTCTAACCGTTCACATGATACGAAATGGTACCAAATGTAGTACATTTTAGTATTTTTCGTACACTTACAGGTCCATATCCAAAACTCTTTGGTGCATCTATCATATACTCAACCAATGACCCTCATTCCAAATTTAAGAGTTTAAGCTCTACTGCTTCCTCAAACATAAAGGGTACAACATTTAGTACCTTTAATACATTTCGTACCTTTTCTGACCCCTTCGGACCAAGGGTAATCCTAACCCACAATTTTAAGATTCTAGCTTCAGCCGTTTGGCTTTGATGAATCGTTAAGTCAACCAGTCAGTAAATTTCTCTTTTATTAATATAGATTGTGAAAAGTCTTCAACAGACCGACGGTAGTAACAAGTTAGTGGAGGCAATAACAATAATAAATATCGTCCAATTTCAAAGTTATACAGAATCAGCCCATACCATTTTATAACTAAGAATTTTAAATTATTGTGAATCATTTATATAGCGAAGAGGGGTTTCGACTTGATTTAAATTTGGCTCATCACTTTGTAACAGAACTACTTTTACCGAAAAATATTTTTTAATATAATGAAAACTTTGGGTTTGGTTGTCAGAAAGTTTTGTTTTACAAAATAAAAAAATATTTTGGGATTCGTCATTTGAAATTAATTTGGAAAATAACTATTTTTATAAAAAATAGTTGGAGCAAACAATTTATTCTGAAGGGAATTCTATGTCCTGTGAAAGGACGAAATTTGACCTGAATTTGAAAATTGGATGATCAATATCCTTCACAAAAAAGGACTCACTCTTTATATTGAATATCGAATGAGGGTTTAGATTTCAGTATCCACCAACGAGGACTCCTGCTTTAATAAAGTCTGTGTGAATTCGGAATATTTTGAATATAAAAATTGGATGATCAATATCCTTCACAAAAAAGGACTCCCCCATCTTGAATACCGTATGAGGATAGAGAATTCAATATCCATCAACAAGGACTCCTGCTTTAATATAATCTGTGTGAACTCGGAATATTTTGCATATGGAAAACAAACAAAGAATGTACTAATTCTGAAACCGAAAGCTATATGACCATTTTAAGAAATCATATCAATGAATAAGTTCCTGTAATGAAAAATTTGTATACGAACACGTGTTCCGGAGAAGAAACAAGGAATTTATTTATATTATCTGATGATATTTGATGCATTATCTACTAATTTCTAATGGAATTTTTTTATACATTTTCCTTTCCAGATATCGGTTTAATTTTAAACAAACATGTCGGCCGAACTACAATCGACAAGCCTTTGTCGAAGCAGCTTCAAATTATAATTCTGTGAGTATTAAATGAAATTATTATCTATTTTTATCTTTGTATGTAAATTCCATTAGCAATTGTTATCTGTTCATGTACCTAAAATTTACGTAGGAAAACTTACGGATTTTAGAGATTTTATTCATTTGTCATAAATTATTAAAAATTTTAATTTTTTTCCAAGTATCTTAAATATTACACTTTTGTTAGATTCGAAATATCGCCATAACATGATTTATATTGATTTTAAATATGGTATATAAGGAATATTAAGGAAGTTGTGTATGATGTTAAACAATATCATTTGGTGTTGCCCATGTTACAATAAACAAGTTAAAAAGCAGTAAGTTTGGCCGGTCCGAACTTTGAATACCCTCCACCATTTGGAACGAATTTGGACATTTTCAAAAAATAAAGTCCGTTAAAAATTCTGTTAAAATCTAAAAAATACCGAATACTACCGTTATATGCGACATGGACCTACATAGGCTTTGTTTGTCAAAAGCCAATCCCATATTCAAATTCAAAGCATAGACAATTTTCTGTCACAGACTGTAGTTCCAATTACGACCTATAAATGCGTAATTTGAAACTACTCCGGTGAGTAATGTCACTAAAATCATGAAAATACAAAATCTCGGGAGGTACCATTATATGGGGGCTATACGAAGACGTGGACTTGCACAGACAATTTTCTGTCTTAGGCTGTAGTATCCATTTCAAACTTCAAATACAAAATTTGAAAAAATTCCGGTGAATAATGTCACTAAAATCATGAAAATAAAAAATATCGGGAGGTACCGTTATTTGGGGGCTATATCAAAACGTGGACCTGCACAGACAATTTTCTGTCATAGGCTGTGATATCAATTAAGAACCTCAAATACCAAATTTGAAACAATTCCGGTGAATAATGTCGCTAAAATCATCAAAATATCGAATAAAGGGAGGTCCCTTTATATGGGGGCTATACGAAGACGGGGACCTGCACAGACAATTTTCTGCCTTAGGCTCTAGTATCCATTTTGAATTTCAAATACCAAATTTGAAACAAGTGCGGTGAATAATGTCGTTAAAAACATCAAAATACCGAATATCGGGAGGTACCGTTATATGTGGGCTATATCAAAACGTGAACCTATATGACCATTCACGAACTTAACCTGCCTACTCTCAAAATAAATATGTGCTCAAAATTTTAGCCTTCTATCTCAAATCGTTCGAACAGATTACAACAGAGAAACATACAGATAGACAGACATACAGACGGAGCTACAGATGGATGTCGCTAAATCTACAAGTTACAAACGGGATGACAAAGTTAATATACCCTCCATAGAATGGTGGACAGAAAGCGGGCATGGCCTCCGGGCTGTATTTCTTTATTTTTACGACGCTGTTCTACCTCCTTATTGTACCTTGCCCTTACCTTCAGCCTGTGTCAGTTTGTTTAAATATGTTTTGACTACATTGTGCTTATTAACCCTTGGTGGAGGAAATGTCAAAGGAGTGTACCCATATTATCCACTTCTCATCTCATCTGAACCAAGTCTGATATAAATGTGATATGTGTGAGGTACCTGATATATTGGACCAAAGCATTTCACTTCATCTAATGCTGAGGCTATGAGTCCCTTTATAACGTCCCTCCCTATTCAAAGTATTTAGAAGATTTTGAATGAAATCAAATCTCCAGAAATTTTAATATTTTTAGGTTCATTGAGAATACAAACTCTTTCGTTGTCGATTCACAATTCAGAACATACCAATTTTCAGTAGCTCGAAGTTTTGCGTCAGAACTTCCAAAACAAATAGTTGCAATAGGGTATTTCGTTGAATAAAATATCGAGCCCAGCCTATTGGGTAATTTTAAGGGTTAAGGTCTATTTGGAATATATCCTCTCAAAATATGCCCAATGTACGTATTGATTTTGAAGTAGCTTCCACTTAACGTTAGATCCTACAATTGGTATTCTAAGTCCCAGTTTAGTGTCATCCAGTATTTAGCACATTGCTCATGTAACAGCAACCAAATATTTTATATAGTGCGCTGCCCATTAATTTTGGCGCATGGGGTTAAATGTAATTAAAGTTCAGCTCAGATTGTTTTCAGATTTTAAGTACAGAAAGCTGGTTCCGCATTTTAGGAGTAATGATTTGATGCTCATTTTTCAACATTGATATAACTCACTACAAATCACTTGTTTACAACTATTTCTTTGACCATTACCATTCGAATGAATTCAACGAAACCATCGTTCTCAAAATTTTTTGTGTCTATTCATGCATTAAGTCTGGCCTGCTGGTACATCGTTTCTGTCTGCTCAAAAGTTTGCAGTATTGGTATTTGTTGAACAAAGAAATTTACATGATGCAAAAAAAAAAACGAATCTTGGAAAGGAATTTTATTGTTGATTGAATTTCTGCTTAATTCGAATAGCTTAAAGATTAGTTAAAGTCCAAAATTCAAATACAGTGCAAAAATGTAAAAAGCAAAGTCTTTGTCTTTCTAAATATTCTATACTTGAATCAATCTCATCTCAGAATTCTAAAGATAGAAAAACTTTAAAAAAGGAACAAAATAATAGTCTCCATAACTTCGAAGGAAATACTGCATTTCAAAGAACGGCCCGGTCCACACCAAAATATGCTCGATGAGCCGCCGTCTAGTGGTGAGCATGTGTTTTTCAACAAATAAATCTTCACCATATATAGAGGGCATATTAAGTTCGTTATTTCTTTCGTAATTCATCGAAACAATAATTTTAGACATAACAAATTATACATACATTCTTGATCAGCGTAAAATTGTAAGACCATTTAGCCCAGTCCGTCCGCATGTTGTCTCAAGCTAGAGTCAAATCGAGTAATGATAGAAAGCTACAATTTGGCACAGATCAGTATTTTTTGTGTGCAAGGAGGTCAAGTTCGAAGATATAACGATACCCAGATATTCGGTATTTTGATTATTGTAACCAAAATTTTCTGAAAATCCTCAGAAAGAGTTCCTTCTAAGCACTTAACTCCCTTGGATAGTATTGTCTATATAAGTCCACGATTCGGTATTTTTATGACTTTAACGACATTATTCACCGTATTCAGAGTTCGTCTATGCCAGAAATTGTCTATGCAGGCCCAGTTCTTCATATAGGCCCCATATATCAGTACCTCCCACATTCGGTATTTTGACGATTTTAGGTACAATATTCACCGAAATTGTTTGAAATTTTGTATTAGAAGTTAGTCCTTGTAAAAATATTGTTTAAAAAATCCACGGCTCGGTTAATCCTTGAAAAAATTTTGTTTAAAAAATCCACGGCTCGGTTAGTCCTTGAAAAAATATTGTTAAAAAAATCCACGGCTCGGTTAGTCCTTGAAAAAAATATTGTTAAAAAATCCACGGCTCGGTTAGTCCTTGAAAAAATATTGTTGAAAAATCCACGGCTCGGTTAGTCCTTGAAAAAATATTGTTAAAAAAACCACGGCTCGGTTAATCCTTGAAAAAATATTGTTTAAAAATTCCACGGCTCCGTTAGTCCTTGAAAAAATATTGTTTAAAAAATCCACGGCTCGGTTAGTCCTAGAAAAAATATTGTTTAAAAAATCCACGGCTCGGTTAGTCCTTGAAAAAATATTGTTTAAAAAATCCACGCCTCGGTTAGTCCTTAAAAAAATATTGTTTAAAAAATCCACGGCTCGGTTAGTCCTTGAAAAAATATTGTTTAAAAAATCCACGGCTCGGTTAGTCCTAGAAAAAATATTGTTTAAAAAATCCACGGATCGGTTAGTCCTTGAAAAAATATTGTTTAAAAAATCCACGGCTCGGTTAGCCCTTGAAAAAATATTGTCTAAAAAATCACGCCTCGGTACTACAGTCTGTGACAGAAAATTGTCTATGCAGGTCCAGGTCTTCGTATAGCCCCGATATATGGTATAGTATTTTGATGATTTTAGCTCCAATATTCACCGGATTATTATTTTTTATTTTTCAAATTTCGTATTTGAATATTGTATTGGCTTATGACAAAATCTGCCTATTCAAGGCCACGTCTTCGTATAGACGCCAATATTACAGCTATAATCAGTATTTTTTAGATTTTAACAGAATCTTTTATTTATATAATTTTAAAATATGTTTTCGAAATGGTATTTTGGATGGTATTCAAAGTTCGGTCCGGTTGAGCTTTCTGTTTTTTTACTCCTTTTGAAGGAACTTTAAAAATGTCCAAAAAATTCCGTCCAAAAATACCGCTGAAAGGAATACGTTATATGGGGGCTATACGAAGACGTGGTCCTGCATATGAAGTTAATTATTATCATAGGCGGAAGTACCCATTTCAAATTTTAAATACGCAATTTGAAACAATTCCAATAAAACATATCGCTTAAATCATCAAAATAGTGAATGTCGGGGGGTACCGTTGTATGGAGGCCATTCTATATCGTGGACCTGTATATACAATTCTCTCACAGGGGATAGAGTACTAAGATGGAACCGATTGTGTGGATCTTCAGACAAGTCCATTGGAAAATTTGGCTATAATCGTCAAAATACCGAATATCGGGAGGCATCATTATATGGTCATTATAGACAATTCTCTTTAAGGGGGTAAATTACTCACAAAGAACTTCTTAGACGATTGGAAGCAAACAAATCAAGTCTATTCAAAACCAGGGCGTTTTGAATTTTTCGAAACATACATTTATTAAACAAAGGGGCATTTGTAGCTCACCTTGAATATGGGTGTGCCAAGTTACACATAAATTAAATAATTTCATTATTCCAAGTCAGATTATCTCCAAGGCATTTCACCCATCTCATTTACCTCAAACTCATTACTCTTGACAGAAAATGCAGCTTTTAATACAAGCCCAATAATCATTTTCTTTTATCTCATAAAATCTTAAAGCATACTTTTAGGCTGAAATTCTTTTAACGGTTACAGGCATACCAAATAGGGCGACAAATACAAAACAAAAGTCCAAAAAAATACTAAATAGCCGAAAATCCCTGATAAGAG